AAAATGTACCTCTTTGGGAACCAAAGTTTTTGCTCTTCCTTGAGTATTACACACTCTGTGTGTCTTGCCTCATGTTTCTTTTCCATTTATTTCCTACTTTGACTCAGAACTTTTGTCAAGAGGATTTGGGTGTAAGAAGGAGAAAAATATTTTCATAGAAAAGCATTTTTATACAACTTAACCAGAATTAAGTCTGATATCTCCTAGGCCCTCTTAAGCCAGGCTGTAGGAAAAAGAATAATGGAAGAAGAACAATGCATGAAGCCAGGCCAAAGCAAAATTCTGAATGTTCAAAATTTTCAAAATAGATTTGTATAACTTCCCATACCTCTTGTTCCAATCATATTCAGTAGCAGCCTAATAAAGATAATCCCATTATGAGGACACCCCATTATAATCACATTTTGGGGACAACAATCAAACTACTGAGGAGTATATAACAGTAAGATTAATAGAGTCATGTGATCAGCTCATTGTTGAATAACTTCTGCCATTAAAGGTACAAACTGTCAGACTGCAAATAGTCTAGAAAGCCAAACACAAGAATTCAATATCAATAATGTATCTTCAAGAGGTGACTGAAAGTCTGATGATTTTCAGTCAGTGAAAAATGGGGACAGATGGGAGAGGCAGGGAAGGACTCCAAGTCATGTGTCCTTCCCCACCTGAAGCTTTCAGTAGGAATCATAAATCTGGCAGGCAGCATCCTCTGAAATCTGAGCAGTGTTTGCTCTTGATTGGATGTTTTTCTCACATACATGTGCTGATGAGACTCAGTTGCAAGGCACACCCTCTGCAGATCTCTGGAGTTCTTTGGCTGTCTCCTCTCTGGTGGTCTTCTCTGTGTGCTCTAACTACCTTGGCTTCCCTGGACTCTCAAGTCCATCTCCTCAATTTAGGGAGACCAACAGGCTATTCCTGGGTTTCTCTTCCTTGCTTCTTGGCTTAGAAACTTCCTCCAGGAAAAAGCTGGGTGAATTTTAAGGTTTTCTGTCTTCTGAGGATCACTGTCCTTCAGTGTTTGACATGCAATATGTTGAAGGCTGCTGTTTCATGTATTTTATATAGTGTTTTAGTTGGGAGAGTAAATCCAATCCTCAATATTTCATTTTGATCCAAATCAAAACCCTCAGTTTAGTAGTTTCCTGCCTGGAAATAGTACTTCTTTCCTTGTGGTAGTCCTTTAGTGTGAGGAAGTGAACCAGTCTAATTAGGAGGTGGGTGAGGTGTGGACTTTGTTGTTGTCATGCTTCTCTCACTGCACATCAGGCTTCAGATTGCTGTGTGCTTAGGCTGGGGGCTGGCTTACTAGAGGGTTTATCTCAGCGTCTACTCCAGCCTCAAACTTTAGGTCTTCTCTTTTTGATGTTCCTTAGAAAAGGCCACTCCTCCAAGCTTTTACCCCTCTCCCAGCAGTCCAGGGGTAGATTGCCCTTACCTGTTATTTGATGTTTTTTTTTGTTTGTTTGTTTTTTGTCGTTGAGACAGGGTTTTGCTCTGTCACCTAGGATGGAATGCAGTGGCATCACGGCTAACTGCAGCCTCAACCACCCATGCTCAATTAATTCCCCCACCTCAGCCTTTCGAGTCGCTGGGACCACAGACACATGTCATCATGCCCGGCTAATTTTTGTATTTTTTTCTTCTTTTTATAGAGACAGGGTTTCACCACATTGCCTCAGCTGGTCTTGAACTCTCGAGCTCAAGGATCTGCTCACCTCCCAAAGTGCTGGGATTACAGGCATGAGCCACCACATATGGCTGACAGGCGGCATTCTCTATTCTGATTAAGACTATCTCAAGCAATGCACCCCTGAGTCTCAGAGTGGGGACTTCCTGGTGATCCAGTTTTCCCGCAGCTGTTGGTATGAGCCCAATAAATGTTCTGTTTCCCTGCAGGGTAATTGTTTTTTCTTTTTCTTTCTCTTTCTTGCAGTGGGGCTTCACCAGGGCTCTGAAGGGTAACTGAGTTCCATGCCCTTTTTCCAGCAGCTGAAGATGTGTTTCATAGAGATGCGGGGAAGAGGGATCCATTGGAGGGCTTCTTTCCTTTTCTACAGCAGCTTCTGTTCTCTCCTTCCCCCAACCTTCTCCACCACTCTCCCGCCCCACTCCATCTCCTCCATAAGAGGTGCTTTCTCAGCACTGTCACTGCCTCCAAGAAAAGGAAAAACTGGCCGGGTGCAGTGGCTCACACCTGTAATCCCAGCACTTTGGGAGGCCCAGACAGGCAGATCACGAGGTCAAGAGATTGAGATCATCCTGGCCAACATGGTAAAACCCTGTCTCTACTAAAAATACAAAAATTAGCTGGGCGTGGTGGCACGTGCCTGTAATCCCAGCTGCTTGGGAGGCTGAGGCAGGAGAATCACTTGAACCCCAGAGGCGGAGGTTGCAGTGAGCCAAGATCATGCCACTGCACTCCAGTCTGGGTGACAAGAGCAAAATACTCAGTCTCGAAAAAAGAAAAAAAAGGAAAGGAAAGGAAAAACAACACAGCCTGCATGACAGTACATTTGTTTACAGAAGCATTTACTAAATATTTTAAGTCCACTGTTGAGACATATTGCTCAGATACAAAGATTTCTTACAAAATATTACTGCTCATTGACAATGCACCTGGTGATCTAAGAGCTCTTATGAAGATGTACAACAAGATTAATGTTGTTTTCATGCATGTTAAAACAGCATCCGTTCTTTAGCTCATGGGTCAAGGAGTCATTTTGACTTTCAAGTCTTATTATTTAAGAAATACATTTCAGGCTGGGCGCAGGGTCTCATGCCTGTAATCCCAGTACTTTGGGAGGCCTAGGCGGGTGGATCACCTGAGATCAGGAGTTCAAGACCAGCCTGGCCCTGCATCTCTACTAAAAATACAATAATTAGCAGGGCAAGGTGGCAGGCGCCTGTAATCCCAGCTACTCAGGAGGCTGAGGCAGGATAATCACTTGAACCCAGGAGGTGGAGGTTTCAGTGAGCCGAGACTGCACCACTGCACTCCAGTCTGGGTGACAAGAGCGAAACTCAGCTTCAGAAAATAAAATAAAATAAAATAAGACTATAGCTGCCATTGAGAGTGATTCCTCTGATGGATCTGGGCAAAGTAAATTGAAAACCTTCTGGAAAGGATTAACTATTCTAGATACCATTAATATATGTGATTTATAGGAGGAGGTCAAAATATCAACATCAACAAGAGTTTGGAAAAAGTTGACTCCAACCCTCATGGGTGAGTATGAGGGTTTGGGACTTCAGCGAAGGAACTCATTGAAGATGTGGAGGAAATAGCAAGAGTTAGATTAATTCTAGAGTTAATTCTAATTCTAATTCGAATCTTAGTTAGAATTAGATATGGAGCCTGAAGATGGGAGTGAATTGCTGCAATCTCATAATAAAACTTGAACAGATGAGGAGTTGCTTCTTATGGATAAGCAAAGAAAGTAGTTTTTTGAGATGGAATCTACTCCTGGTAAAGATGCTGTGAACATTGTTGAAATGACAACAAAGGATTTAAAATATTACATAAACTTAGCTAATAAAGCCATGTCAGTTTAAGAGGATTGACTGATTTCAAAATAAGTTCCACTGTGATTAAAATACTATCAAACAACATCACATGCCATAGGGAAATCTTTCATGAAATAATCAATATGGCAAACTTCATTGCTGTCTTATTTTGAAAAATTGCCACGGATTCCTTAACCTTCAGTAACCAACATTTTGATCAGTCGGCAGCCATCAACATGGAGACAAGACTGCCCACCAGCAAAAAGATTACGACTCATTGAAAGCTCTGATACTCGTTATCATTTTTAAGCAATAAAGTTTTTTGTTTCTTTGCTTTGTTTTTTGTAGAAATGAGGACAGGGTCTTGCTTTGTTGTCCAGGTTGGTCTCAAACTCCTGGCTTCAAGTGATCCTCCCAAAGTGTTGAGATTATAGGTGTAAGCCACTGCACCTAGCTGCAATAAAGTATTTTTAAGTTAAGATATGTACTTTTAAAAGACATAATTTATTGCACTACAGTATAGTGTAAACATAAATTTTATTTGCACCAGGAAACCAAAACATTCATGTGACTTGCTTGTTGTGATATTTGCTGTATCGTAGAGGTCTGGAACCAAACCTGCAATATCTCTGAGGTATGCCTGTGTGCTTCAGATGTATCATTCTCTAGAAAACTTACTTTTATAATCAAGTGCTTGTTCCTGAGGGACATACTAATAAATGCATGAATTGGCTTAAATCAGGGAAACTGAGACTTTTAGTACTGAGGACTATTCAAAATTCCTTCTTAAATGTATGTCATTCTCCTGAAGGTTTAGAAATTCTTTAAATGTAACTCTCAAATCTGCATTTGGCCTCGTTCAAAATCTACTCTCCCTAGATTTAAGTGGAAATTATACCTTTATTGTCACCAATACAAGTTCAGGTGGAAAAGGAGGTGACTTATGGAAGGCATCTACTCACAGGACATTCCCTATTTGAATGTCATAGGAGATGCCCAAGGCCCATGACTCTAGGTGTATTTCTGGGAATAGGGGAGCTGCAGACACTTAAGTCTGGTTTTGGAATATTGTCACTTCTAGCCCCCTTTTTTGGTCCTGTATGAAAAATATGAGCAAGCAGAAGACCCACAGAATCATGTTGGAGAAATATTCAGTCCCAATAAATAATTGTCAGCATAAGCTTATATGTATGAATATCTCAACAAAACAGCTGGGTTCCTATCTAAAGACCCATCAGACAAAAGAAAAAAACAAAAATTATAGATATTATAGTAAGAGTGTCAAAAGGAAAAAGATACCAAAATGATAATAGTAAGAAATCTTGGGTGAAACAGATTTTGTATGGAAAAATATTTCAAAAAGAAGGACAGCAGTAATAAAAATTGTCAGAGAGATACAGGTAGTTATCTTGGTCAGCTTGAGCTACTATAACAGAATATCATAGACTGGATGGTGTATAAACAACAGAAATTTATCTTTCATTGTCCTGAAGGCTAAGAAGTCCAAGGTGAAGGTGCCAGCGGATTCAGTGTCTGGTGAGGGCCTGCTTCCTGGTTCACAGACTGCTGTTTTTTTGCTGTGTTCTCCATGGCAGAAAAGGTGAGGGACCTCTCTGGGACCACTTTTGTAAGAGCACTAATTCCATTCATGAGGGCAGAGCCTCCCAAAGACCCCACCTCCAAATACCCTCAATTTAGGGATTAGATTTTAAAATATAAATTTGCAGAGGGATGGGGAGTGGAACACAAACATCCAGTTTATAGCAATACAGCATGCACATATAAGCCTATAATTTTATGAAAAAGGAATAATCACTGAACAAGAAAAAACTCTTGGAAATTAGAATTTTGATGGAAAAAATAAATAATTTAATAGAGGGGTTTAAAATATATAGTAAAATCTTCCAGAAAGCAGAAAAAAGAAAGAAGCAAGGAGATTAACAAATTATAAAGATAGGAAATCAACAGAATCAACATATTATCATTAAATTGACAAATTAATTGGAATACTGGAAATATCTACATCTATATCTCTGTATGTCCCCAGAATTAAAGGACATAAGAATCCAGTTTGAAAGGGTCCATCATGTACCCAGTGCAATGAATAAAAAAGGATATGCAACAAAGCACATTTCCATCAAATTCTACTGTGTTGGGGAAAGAGAAAATTAAAGGACCCTTGGAGAGAATGGAGGGACATTTTCTGAATAAAAGAACAAGAAATAGAGTGATATTAGTCTTCATTGTAACACAGGGTTTCCAGATTTAGTAAAAAAAACACAGGACACTCAGTTAAATTTGCATTTCATACGAATAACAATTTAGTGTAAGGTTATGCCAAATATTACATGAGATATAGTGAGAAATATTCATTTCTCATCTGATTCAAATTTAACTGAGCAGTCATCTTTACCAGCAATCCTGCAGTAGAAGCACTGGATTTAACTCTTCTGTATGATTATGAAAGTGGACTTTCTTACCTTTTTGCTCCTCTAAGAAATAAGAAAAAAACAACACAGAGAAATAAAAACAGAGCAACAGCAGTAAAAACAAAATACCTGGTCTGGTATTTTTAGTGATGTAAGTGACCGAAAATTTCTACAGAATCCAAAGACTTTTAAAAGTTGCTGTTAGAAGTTAAATTGGGCAAAAATGCAAAGAGAATGTCAAGGTACTTTATGAATGGTAGATCTCAGTGAGCATCAACAAAAGTATACTTCCTGAAAATGAAACCACCTTTGCAAAAGTTATAACAGTGAGAAAATGTTGACAGTGGAGGGGATCTGACCTAACCAACTCCATTTGGCTTCTAACCTCCAAGCTGCCCTTGCTCATTCCTGGCCAAAGTTCAAGAAAAATATTTCAAGACACATGTCTTCCATCTACCTTGCCAGCTACTTAAGTGTTCTTTTGGTTTATACCAAACTCCCAGAAGGTATGAACCTTGCAGATGTTTGCTTAGCCCTTGTAAAATTACTTTCATTGCGGGTAAACTTAGTGGTATGCCCTTGAGTTTTTCTTGAAAATCATTGTAAGAAGAGATTTATGTGAATTAAGATATGCTTAAACCCACCATGCAACAGATACCTGATATACATTGCCTCATTCAAATCTAAACTTTGTGAGTAAGTGGTATCATCCCTATTTTATAATTAACTAAACTGAGATAAATAAAATGGTATTTTGTCCAAAGGTATGGTGTTTGGATGTGTCAGAAACAGAAGTAAAACCCAAGTCTATGCTATTTTTAGTCTAGAACAATAGTCAACATCTTCTACATTTGCTGTAAAACAAATATGATTGACCATTGTAAAATTTTACATGATATTCCTTATTAAAATTTCCTCCAGAATTTAATGCAGTAAAACCTTTATTTTGCTGAGCAACTTCTTGCATCTTCGTTTCTTTAATAAAATATGTAATTTGCCCGGGTGCAGTGGCTCATGCCTGTAATCCCAGCACTTTGGGAGACCGAGGCGGGTGGATTGCTTGAGATCAGGAGTTTAAGACCAGCCTGTCCAACACGGTGAAACCCTGTCTCTACTAAAATTACACAAGTTAGCCAGGCATGGTGGCGGGCATCTGTAATCCTAGCTACTGGGGAGGCTGAGGCAGGAGAATTGATTGAACCCGAAACACAGAGGTTGCAGTGAGCTGAGATCACGCCACTGCACTCCAGCCTGCCTGACAGAGCGAGGCTCCATCTCAAAAAATACAAATAAAAATAAACTATGTAACTTATAACTTTTACCTCAGAAACTCGAATTTAACTCAGTCACAACATCTGTATTAACCAGTATAGTAGTTCCTTTGCAAACACTGCCAATATTTCTTCTTTTGGAAATCAATGGTATATAAATAAACCAGTATAAATATACACTCATGCAGACAGGAACACAGTCAGTCAAACTGTATCAGAGGAATTGATATACACATAATACTACTTAACACTAGTGAAAAAGAGGTGCCAAAAGATAGGTTCAGATACATTGTTGCAATATTAAAGATGCAAAGAGGTAAATTTGGTTTCTCAAGTCGATGGCTGGCTTGGCCCTCTTCCAAGTTGTACTTTCCTTCTTTTCTTTCCTTTCCTTCCTTTCCTTCCTGTTCTAAATAAAGCTTTTGAATAAACTTGCACTCCCGCTCTGAAACTTGACTTAGTGTCTCCTTCTACTTTATGCCCTTCCATTGAATTCTTTCTCCTGAGGAGGCAAAAATTGAGGTTGCTGCTGACCCCTATGGATTTGCCAGGAGCAATTCTGAAGACTCCTGTGTATAGATGTTAAATAAATTTGTATGCTTTTTCTACTATTGATCAATCTACCTCATGTTAGTGATGTAACTGCCCAATGGGCTCACCTTGCCTGCTGCCTAGACAGAGCCAATTTATCAAGACAGGGGAATTGCAATGGCTAAAGAGTAGTTCACGGAGATCCTGCTGTGTGGGAGACCAGAGTTGTTATTATTCAAATCAGTCTCCCGGAACATTCGGGATCAGAGTTTTTAAGGATAATTTGGCGAGGATAGGCTAAGAAAGTCGGGAGTGCTGATTGGTCAGGTTGAAGATGAAATCATAGGGGGTCAAAGTGAGTTCTTGCTGAGTTCTGTTCCTGAGTGGGATTGCAGAACTGGTTGAGCCAGATTGTTGGTCTGGGTGGTGTCATCTGCTGCATCGTTGTCGTAATGCAGGGTCTGCAAAATCTCTCAAGCACTGATCTTAGGTTTTGCAACAGTGATGTTATTCCCAGGAGGAATTTGGGGAGGTTCAGACTCTTGCAGCCAGAGGCTGCATGGCCCCTGAACCGTAATTTCTAATCTTGTAGCTAATTTGTTAGTCCTAAAAAAGCAGACTGGTGGCCAAGCAAGAAGGCGTTTTTTGGGAAAGGGCTATTATCAATTTTGTTTCAGAGTTTAAACTATAAATTCTTTCCCAAGGTTAGTTAGGCCTATGCCCAGGAATGAACAGACAGTTTAGAGGTTAGAAGGAAGATGGGGTGGGTTAGGTCTGATCTCTTTCACTGTCATAATTTCCTCAGTTACTATTTACACAAAGGCGGTTTCAGTTATTTTTAGCAAATCTTTATGGGATCAAGAGCCCATGACATCCACAATAACTCACTGCAGTCTTGACCTCCTGGGCTCAAGTGATCCTCCCACCTCAGCTTCCCAAGTAGCCGGGACTACAGGCACAGGCCACCATGCCCAGCTAATTTTTCTTTTCTTTTTTTTTTTTAAGTAAAGACAGGTTTTGTGATGTTGCATGCCCAGCCAAGGACTTTGCTCTTTTGTTTACAGGTCCTGAAGGGCCTGGGAAATGCAGGGCTGGTGATGGAAACCCTTCCAAATTCAGCTTGGATCAGAGAACTAGAGGAAGCAAGGATGCACAAAAAAATTTCCCAGAAAAGCCATACCTGTCAGGATCACTGGTCTCTGTGACAGCAAAGAAAGGGCCTTTGCAAGGTTTAAAGCCCAAAAGAAGACCCTGGAGTCTCCTACCATCCATGAAACTGCCCGTAAATTGCTGGTCCAGGAAAAACTATGTCACTAAACAATAAGTATTCAAGAAAGACTGTAGCGCAGCATCAATACAAAGATTTTATAAGAAACAATTCGATAAAGCTGGAAAAATGGATAAATGCATGAAAACATTCACAAGAAGGATGATGTCACAGAACTAGCGAGAATGCTGATCATATCATATATCCACCACAAGGTAAAGTTTTTAGTGAAATGATCACCTCTGTATAGGAAAATCACAAAACACACATGTAGGAACTCATGTGTTAGTAAGTTTTTTCTTTGGCATTTTGGCTGAACTAACTTTGGACTGAAAATGTATTTCTTATTCACAGAACATAAAAATATTCTTGTGTTTAACATTTTTTTCATCTGAGTCCATTTTTTGCTTTTCATTCATCTGAAAGTTTCTATGTAATATGACTCGAAGTAGGAATATAACAATGTTTTCTATTTATTAGTTGTCTCAGTATCATTGAATAAACCTTCCTTTCCCTACTTATTAAAGATTCTGCTTTAATCATATTCTTAAGTCTTATACATGTGAATATATAATATACATATATATAGATACCTACATGTATATTAATTGCTTGCTGGGTACTCTCTTCAGTTTTATTAGTTTTCTTATTTTGTAACTCATTTAGAACCAATTTACAAAGATGAATCAAAAATACATTTATTCTATTATCTATAAAGATGTCAACATATTTCAAAATACATAAGACCATACAAGTTCCAGTTGAATAATACAGTTATGTTTTGCAAAGGTAATTTTATTTGCCTTTATTAGGCAAAACTTACATTATCAAGTAGCATTTTTAATAAAGCAAATAGCATACATCTTAGTAAGATTATCTTTTTTCAATAAAAATATTAAATGTATTTACTTTCCTGGATGTTGTCTACATATCCTACATAGCATGGCTCTTTACAAGAAAAATTAGTCAGAGCTACATAGTCAAATTGTAATGGTAATGCCTTAATGGATGAGTGAAAAAGCTATTAGCCTAGAACAAAATTTTTCCTAATTTTTATACATTAAAAAAGAAACAAGAAGAAAATAACTTTTATCTTTTCAATGGGATTTATTTATGTTTAAGTAAAGGTAGCAAATGTTACATAAGTTGTTTCCTTAAGAACATTTATTTTGTACAATCACATTGTTATCAAGCAAGACTTACGGAAAGTTTCCTGGGTCCACAACACTGAACTTTGAAACTATTGTAGCATCCTCTTTTCCAAGTTTAAACATGACTTTGTGCACTGAAGAAGTATGGCTTCGCATTGCAGAGTGGTCACATGTGACAACCTGACACCAAGCGAGAAGCCTTTTGATGAAGTATGTTTTATCTTTTGTTGAGTTACAAAATGGTACTTTCATGTGTGTGATTATCAAACTCATACTTTTTTTTCAGGTCATTTCTCTTCTGCTACAATAAAGATAAACCAGTTAAAACTAAGCAGTATAGCAATGTAATCGACCATCTATCAGGTTATATCTTATATAGGATGTTTTAGGTGATATTGATGCTTTATATTACACATCTGTATTTAATATACTTTGGGCAATACAAAGTTAGAACATGTCTGGTAGATAAACAAAAAGATTTCCCTGAAAATTGATACATTGTTTTAACAATCACAAAAACTTAGGTTTATTCTTCAGAAGTGTGGTGGAATTGTTTAATATTAAAATAAAACATCTTGCTGTTGTCATTTTTTTCATATTCCTATTTTATACATTTTTAGATAACAGAATAATCCTGTAATTTTATTGCTAAAACATTATTACTTGGTTAGACATGATTATCAGATTTTGGGGTGACTTTGTTGTTCCCATATTTGCCAACACTAATTATTTCACTGTTTACTTTTGCAAACATGTGCTTATGCTAAAGATCCAAAAACTATAATGGGAAGTCATTGGTAATAATCAATGTACAATGATTGGTTAGGACAATGACTAATCTTATGGGCTGAAGTTTTGACTGCTATATGATAAGAGCTCTGACTATCCTGTTAAATTAACTGTACAGAGGGGTGTTTGGGGATTGGGAAATGCTTATTTCCAAAGAAACCATATTGCATGCTTATTTGACTGGCAGAAATTCTCTGGTTTGATGCATCACTAGTACTGAGGGTGGAATCTACATGCAGCTTCTTCAGCAAGCTTGTTGGTCCCTTAGGAGAGCTCAGCAGTGTTACATATGTCTTACAGCCTGTCACTGCACATGTCTGTCCTTGCTCACTGCCAGGAAGGCTGCCGATTCTCCAACAAAATCCAGTGCTAGATTTAGAACTGAAGGTGCTTTGTTTCAGATACCTGTAATACCTATAAAAAGCAAATTTCAAAGAAATACAAATTTATGTTAACATTCTCATAGTATTTTAACAGTTGTATTAGTTATTCATTTTTGTATCTACTACAAATCTGTATTAAAAATACAAATTGTTGAGGGACTCTGGTTCCAAAATCAGTGTAGAAGCAAGCTGGCTTCACTCCCTATCACAGAAAACCAAAAACAAACATACAGTGCCAAGATTATCACCAGCAATATCCCAGAACTCAAGTAAGAGGATGAAACAGTTTCCCAGGCCACAGAGAAGTAAAAAAATAAAAATAAAAATAAAAAGCTCCAAGTAGGTGGTAAGAGATTCAGGCTTCCTTATCCATAATCCTCTCCCCTAATATCCCCAGCATCAAGCACAAGGAAAATTTCTTTCTGACTCACAATTTCTACACTGCAAAAAGTGAGATCAAGGTGGACAGTGAACTTCCTCATCATCTTGATGCACCAAATCAGAGTGCCTGTTTAGCAGCACTACACTGTAAGAGGTGTGTTCCACAGGTCCCCTGAGCATGGACCCCTAGCCAGCCTTTTCACATAACCAGGATATCCTCTTTGGGACAGCCCCCATTCAGGTCAGGCAGCACTCTGATTGTTGGCTAGAACTGAGGCAAACCTGGGCTTAAGGCACCAGTTAGTGCCAAAAAGGAGGCAGTGACCTAGTTGGGAAAAAAGACAGAAAATCAACTGGTATATTACAAATAAGCAAGCATATCCAATAAAAACCAAAACAAGTCAGACCAAAAAGACAGAAGTAAATAACTAGTCTTTCAATGCAAAGTCATAGATGTAGATCCACAAGAAATAATAGCAAACAAGCAACAATGACCTCTTCATACAGACAAAAAAAGAAATCAGTGACTGACCCTAGTGAAATGGTGATATGTGAACTCTCCGACCAAGAATTCAAAATAGCAGTTTTAGGGAAACTATGTGACCTCCCAGGAAACAGAAAAGCAATTCATAAATTTATCAGAGATATTTAACAAAGAGATAGGAATAATTTTAAAAAATCAAACAGAAATCTTGGAATTGAGAAATACATTTGCTGAACTGAAAAATTCGTTAGAGGCTCCCAACAGCAGAATGGATCAAGTGGAGAAAATAATCTGCGAAATCAAAGACAGGCTTTTTGAAAATATACAGTCAGAGGAGCAAAAAGAAACAAGAATGAAGAGGAATGAAGGTCACCTTCAAGATACAGAAAATTAACTCAAAAGACCAAATCTAAGAATTATCTTTATTCAAGAGGGAATCACACAAAAGCAAGGATTAGAAAGCCCTTTTTAAAAAATAGTAACAGAAAACTTTCCAAAACTTGAGGAAGAGTTAAATATCCAGGTACAGGAAGGTCAGAGAACACCAATCACATTCAACCCAAATAAGACTACCCAAAAGCATGTAACAAATTCTCAAACATCAGGGACAAAGCAGGATTCTAAGAGCAGCCAGAGAAAAGAAGCAACTAACATATAAAGGAATTCAAACTCACCTGGCAATAGACTTCTCAACAGAAGCCACACAGGCCAGAAGGGAGTGAAACAACATTTTCAAAGTGCTCAAAGGAAAAAAAAACCTGTCATCCAAAAATACTGTATCCAGCAGAGTTATCTTTCAAATGTGAAGGATATATAAAATCTTTCCCAGAGAAACAAAAGCTGAGAGAATTCACCACCAACAATCTCATTTTATAAGAAATCTAAAGAGAGCTCTTCAGTCTGAAAGGCAAAAATGCTAATGTGCAGCAACAAAACATCTGAAGGTATAAAATCCACTGGTAAAATTAAGTATACAGACAAATCTAAAATTCTCTAAAACTGTAATTGTTGTTTAAAATCCACTCATAACACCACTACGAAGCTCAAAAGACAAATCTATCAAAACAATAATATCTATAGCAACCTATTAAGAGATAGGCAATATAAAAACATGTCAATGAGACAACATAAAGTCAAAATGTGGGGTGAATGCAATTAAACTGTAGACCTAAAAAAACCCTTTATACAGTTTTTAAAAACTTATTTGTAATAAAAATCGCCATCTTTTAAAAATAATTTATGTCTATATTTTTATAAGCTTCATAGTAACCACAATGCAAAAACCTTTAATAGATTCACTAAAAATAAAAACCAACAAATTACAACATATTACCAGAGAAAATCATTTAACCACAAAGGAAGACAGCACAAAAGGAAGAAAGGAAAAGAGGAGTTAGAAAATATACAAGCTGCAAAACAGCAGTAGTAAGTCCTGATCAATAATAACACTGAGCCTAGGCAACATAGTGATATCCTACCTTACGAGCTAGGTGTGGTGGCACGTGCCTGTAGTCCCAGCTACTCAGAAGGCTGAGGTAGGAAGCTCACTGGAGCCCAAGAAGTTGAGGCTGCAGTGAGCCATGATCACACCACTGCCTGGACAAGAGTGAGACCTTGCCTCAAAGAAAAATTATAACATTGAATGTAAATTGACTTAGTTTTCCAATTAAAAGGTATAGGATGGCTGAATGGCAAAGAAACAAGACCCAACTGCATGTTGCCTGTGAGAAAGTCACTTCACCTATAAAGACACACATCGATTGAAAGTGAAGGTGTAGAAATAGATACGCTATGCAACTGGAAACCAAAAAAGAGCAGAAGTAGTTATATCAGGTAAAACAAGTACAAGTCAAAGACTGTAAAAAGAGACACAGGAGGTCACTATATAATAATAAAGGAGTCATTTCAGCAAGAGGCTATAATAGTTAAAAGTGTCTATGCACACAACACGAGAGCTCCCACGTATATAAAGCAAACATTAATAGATCTAAAGGGAGAGATAGACTGCAATATAGTAATATTGAGGAACTTCAACACCTCACTCTCAATAATGGACAGATCCTCCAGACAGAAAATTGACAAGGAAACACTAGAGTTAAAGTATACAATAGATCACATAGGCCAAACTGATATTCACAGAATATTTCACCTGTTATAAAATACACATTGTTTTCATTAGCACATGGCACGTTCTCCAGAAGAGGCTATATCTAGGCCACAAAACAAGTCTCAATAAATTCAAAACAGTAGAAATCATATCAAGTATTTTTTATGACCACAATGGAATGACACTAGAAACTGATAACATGAGGGTCTCAGAAAATGCACAAACACATGGAAATTAAATAACATGCTCCTGAATGACCAATGAAGTAATTAGGAAGAACAGTATAAAATTTCTTGAAACGAATGTAAATGGAAATACAACACTCCCAAATCTATACTATACAGCAAAAGCAGTACTAAGAAGGAAGTTCGTAGCAATAAACACCTGTATCAAAAAAGTAGAAAGACTTCAAATAAACAACCTAAACAGTGAACTTCAAAGAACTAGAAAAGCAGAAACAAATGGAACCTAACATAGTAGAAGGAAAGAGATAATAAAGATCAGAGCAAAAATAAACAAAACAGATTTTAAAAACCAGATCAATGAAACAAAAAGCTGGTGTTTTTAGAAGACAAAGAAAATCAACAAACCATTAGCTAGACTAAGAAATAAAAAGAAGGCCAAATAAATAAAATCAGAAATGGAAAAGGAGACATAATAACTGAGACCACACAAATAGACTCATTAGAGACTATTACAAAAAACTCTTTGCCAACAAATTGGAAAACCTAGAAGAAATGGCTAAATTCCTGGACACATACAACCCAAAAAGACTGAACCATGAAGAAATAGAAAACTTCAATAAATCAGTAACAAGATCAAAATTATAATAAAAAGTCTTGCCTCAAAGAAAAGCCCAGTACCTGATGGCTTCACTCCTGAATCTACCAAACATTTGAAGAGACAGTAATACCAATTCTACTCTAATTCTTCAAAAAAAAAAAAAAAAAAAAAAAAAAACTGAAGAGGAGGGAATACTTGCAAATTCATTCTGCAAAGTAGTATTACCGTGACACCAAAACCAGAGAAGGGCACAACAAAAAACCAAAACTACAGGCCAGCATCACTGATGAACCAGATACAAAAATCTTCAACAAAATACTAGCAAACCAAATTCAATAACAATGTTTAGCAGCATCCCTGGCCTCTGACCACTGGATGCCAGAAGTACCACCAGTTTTGACAATCAAAAATATCTCCAGACGTTCTTAAATACCCTGTGTTGGAGGAAGGTGGCTAAATCACACCTCCCTCCCCACCGTCCCCCACCATTTGAGCACCACTGTATTAGATCACCTAGAAGTTATAATATATGTTATGTAACATTATGCCAGAGATTGTATACCCTGAGGCCGCTTTGGAAATTTCAGGAGAAGGCTGTTTGGTCACTTAGTTGGATGTTATAGAGGTGCTAGCCTAACATTCTGTAAATCTTATAAATACAGTTTTCTTCAATGCCTGCAAGAAAGAAGTGAAACATGGAGACACCTTGGAAAAAAATCAAGCTCTTGGCATGTGAGAGCTACAAGCAACTTTAGGGCAGCCACAGGAATAAGAGAATAGATGAAAAAAAGAAGGGAGGAGTTTAGGACTTACCCTCACAGACCTGAGCCATAACTGGGAAATTGTTACCCTTTTAAATCTAAGCCACCAGTGACAACCTGAGCTCAGGACTGAGCGGAGGGCACGGTCTACTACAGGGACCATGCTAGAAAAGTAATTTTTCCAAAGGGTATTTTTGGTGGCAGGGCAGGGCCATAGGCTCCTGTGAGTTAAATGACTCAGAACAGAAAAAGGTAACAGTATTCCACTAGACGATGCTATATCTGATGAATTCATCAAGCATGTCCAAATTAGGTCTTACACGACCCTGTCTTTTCCAGCACATTTTCCTCGGTCCTTTTTGCAATAATTTGAATTCAGCCATACTTAAAATGAAAGATATTTGCAAATTTAAAAAATTCCATTCTAGCTTATCTCCATTACTGATTCAAAATACATGCATTTCTAGTCTAAACAACTTGACACACTATTAAGCCAGGCTCAGGTCCAAAAGGCACAAGGTTCATAGCAAAATGTCTGTTCCTTGTTTCAATTTTAATTAATGCCATAGCTAGCAGATTTAATAACACTTCTATTGTTAAGTACAAGCAAAACTGATATAAAAATCTCTTAACTTTCACTTCTTTAGCATTCTGCTGACTGATACAGTCAGGGATGAGTTTTGTGTCTATCCTTGGAAGTCAGAAATATTAAAAAAAACAAGAGTTTAGGATATTAAAATGCTTTACAGACCTCTGAAATATAACAGTGTGCCCCAAAAGATAGCCACTTGGCTTGGAGGTCTGGTAACATAGCATTTAAAAAAGGAACTTGCTGGTCACAGTGGCTCATGCCTGTAATCCCAACACTTTGGGAGGCTGAGGTGGGCAGATCACTTGAGGTCAGGAGTTCGAGACCAGCCTGGGCGACGTGGTGAAACCCCGTCTCTACTAAAAATACACAAATTAGCTGTGTGTGATGGTGCGGGCCTGTAGTCCCAGCTACTCAGGAGGCTGAGGCGGGAGGATTGTTTGAACCCAGGAGGCGGAGGTTGCAGTGAGCAGAGATCGTGCCACTGCACTACAGCCTGGGCTACAGAGCAAGACTCTGTTTTCAAAAAATAAAAATAAAAAAGAAAAGACAAGGAAATTAGTTGCTGGGTGGAGTGCTTTCTGCCACTTGGGGCAGACTGCTTGAGCCCGTGGGTTCAAAACCAGCCTGGGCAACAAAGTGAGAACCCTGTCTCCAAAAAAAAAAAAAAAAAAGAGAGAGAATTTGGTCATTATACATCAAGGTAACTGGGTGGCTAACCTCATGTCAAAATGGGAAGTACTAAGGGCATATTTAAGCAATTATCTAATTGAAAAGTTGTGAGGTCACAATCTACTGAAACTTATAAACACTTGGAGAAAAAAGATACAGGTAACCTTATGTTTTATAACTTTTTTTTTTTTTTTTGCAAACAAGGTCTCACTCTGTCCCCCAGGCTGGAGTGCAGTAGCACCATCACAGCTCACTGCAGCCTCGACCTCGCTATCCTCCCACCTCAGCCTCTCGGGAGGAGGATGGGAGTGGTAGTCAGTAATGTGTAGGGCATGGGGGGCAGGGGATTTCTGCATTACATTCAGCTCCACACGTCATTTAAAATATGGTCAGAAGAAATGAAGACAAGTAAAATGGTCTCAAAAGTGGCTGGAATTAGGCAGAGGACAGGCAAAGTACAAGTCAAACATAGAAATGGAAGGAAAATGGAAGGAAAAAAGGAATATACGTGGTGGGCCTTACCGTCATGTGTTACCCACATGCCTCTATTAATCAATGAAAACGTTAATGCAATCATACACATGGTTTCATATATTTTCCATCAAAATAGTAGAGAGAGAGGAAGGGTAAGTACAAGTGAGCTGGCCAGGACAGTGGGTGGAAAAATTCCACTTCACAGTTTTGCCTGGGTCAAGGCCTGACTAGGAAGCATATTTACTTTAGAACTCTCACTAAAAAATTATTCTTTTTCTTAGTATAGGACATGCATCTTGGTAAAAATCCTTATTAAACAATAACAACTAATTTAAAATTTTAAAGACCATGAGAAGCAACATGTAGGATGGTGGAGAAGAACCCTCCACACTTCAGCCAATAGTTTGTGCAAATGTCAGACCACTTTTAGAGCCAGAAGTTCAGTCTCATCAATGTACCTAAAAGATTTCCCAAGGGTCTAAATCTCCTCTGTTTTAGAGAGAAATACTTCTTAAATTGTCATGTGTCCTCTCTTTGGCTCCATTCTATCACCACCAAGTTAACAGGATTTCTGTGAAAAAATTTCCTCAGTAAAACACATTTGGAAAACACTACACACTATATCCCTTTCTTAGAGATTTCTGGTGCACATGGGCATGTTAAAAGGGTATCAAAATATCTGAGAGGTTCTGAGAAAGAAAAACTGAATCCAGCATTTTCCAAATTTAAACCCGCTCCAAGTTCTCCCCTTTTGCCACCAAGAATACCTATTAGCCTTTCACAGGTCACTAGTATTTTCTAGCAGAGTAATTGGAAAATGCTATTCCATAGATAAAAGTATTACAACATTTTCTTGCCACATTGAAAGGACTGAAGATTTAAAAGACTTACCAAAAGGATCTATTTAATATCCTGAGAGTTAAGATTTTTGCTTACATTTGGCTTCTTGGTACAGTTGTTTAGCTTTTGCCCTATCATTCTCCTAATTGAAACATCATCCGTATTGGGAAATAATTGTTTTGTTACTCCTGTAAAAAACCAATAACAACACACAAGAAACTTTATGAGTCCTTTGCATCTTAGGGGATGAACTGAGGTAAAACATCAAGTATTCTACATTATAATTTTGTTTCCATTTTACAAAAGTAGCCCAAAGACCCCTGAGATATTTAAACAGATGAATATATAGGCAGGTTTTTCTAAGTAAAGCAAGAGATATCAGCAGATCTATATTATCAACTGAGATCCTATGGTAGCAATTAACTTTAATCCTCCTACTTGCTTTAAACTCTAAGTCCTCTCGCTCTAAAACGTTAGGAATGTATTTTTATCCATTCCCAACATTAGTTGAAACAACTAAACTCTGACTGATCTTTTTCTGTATCTGTCTGCCTCAGCCTCCCAAACCACTGTTATTACAGGCATGAGCAACCACGCCTAGCCATGTTCTCTAACTTTTAAAGTCAGTCTAACAGTATGTGTGAGCCAAGGGAAAGAATGTCATTGCAGTTGTTACAAGTAGTAGTTTTTTTGTTTCAGGAAGACAGACATTGTTGTACATTAAGAAATGACATATATAGAGCTGGGATTCAGAGAATCCTTAAATTTGTTGGATGTTGTCAAAAATTAATTGGATAATCTAGATTTTATTTAAGGAGATTCATTAATTTGAAAACCACAAATAGGATGGTCGAATTAGCCTTTATCTTTCTAGAATGAAAGATAAGAAATATAACAAAAGCAAAGTAGAAATTGTTATTGAAATTTTACTTTAAAAGATTGTAAGAATTTATGTTTCCAAAGCTATAAATTGTATGAATTCAAACTTTTTGGTGATATAAAACTTAGTTTTATTTTAATAACCATTTTTAATGTAAAGTTTTTCTATAAAATTTCCCATATTTAATGAGAGTTTTAGACTAACCTGAGATTTTTCTTTCCTAGAAAAAGAAACTTTAAAAAATAAAAGGACCATGAAGGACTACCTTGACCTTGAGTGGTAACATGATTTAAAATTCGTGTGACAATGTAACGCAATCATATTATCACCTATGATTTCTTGAACTTCATTCTGATTCATAGCTGGTTTTACGGCTTTGTCCCTTGAAGTAGAGGATTTTGCCCCTGTCAGGCTGTGAGTGGCCATGTATTCATTTGTGTAAAGTACTTGCATTAAATCATTAATAAACTTCTGAGGCTTGCTCTTGTTACAACGGGCAATCTGCCATTTTTCAATCTGGAACTAAAAAGATAAGAAAGAGTTGAAGTTGGAAAAAGAAAGTTCCATATGGAGAAATATATTACTAATTGAGTTAAGGCATAAAAGAAAACAATGTCAACATTTTTTAAGGTAATGTATTATATGTATTTTAATATATATTTTACATTTTAATTTAATATCTATTTTACATGTCAGGAATTAGAGTTAAGTGTTATCTGTGTGATACTCTTCACTATTTATGGGGTATTTGTTCCAAGGTGTATACAAATTCTTGTCATGTAAACTGGATTTGTTCCTTTCAGGCTTAGTCCCATACTCAGTGCTTCATCGTAAATGTAGTAGGAAGAATAATGGCCCTCTGAAAGGTCACATCCTAATCCCTGAAATCTGTAACATGTTGCCTCACAGGGCAAAAACAATTCTGTAGATGTGATTAAAACTAAGTACCTTGAGATGGGAGATTATCCTGGATTATCTAGGTGGGCTCAATCTAATCACATGAGTTCTTAAAAGCAGAAGAAGGAAGCAAAAGGGTAGATCAGGAAAAAGAGACAGAAGAGGGAGGAAAGAACTGAAGTGTAAGAGGGACTTCACCAGCTGTTGCTGGCTTTGAAGATGGCAGAAGTGGGCTGTGAGCCAAGGAATATGATTGCCTCTACAAGTGAGAATGGCCTTCAATTTACAACCAGCAAGAAAGTGGGGAATTCAGTTTTACAACCACAAGAAAATGAATTCTACCAGAGCCTGGGTGAGCAGGAAACAGATTCTGCCCTAGAGCTTCCAGAAAGAAATACACCTGCTAACACCTTGACTTTAGTCTAGTGAGACCTGTTCCAGACTTCTGATCTATAGAATTCTAAGATAGTAAACTTGGGTCATTTGAAATCACTAAATTTGTGATAATGTGTTATATAGCAATAGGTAACTGATACACTAAGATTCAAATATTTTGAATGTTAGATTGTTAGTTAACATTTATCATGGTTGATGGTATACTTACTGAGACTACCTGATTCTAACAAAACTTTGTCTTTTTAGCATCTGTGTCTTAAGTAGAAAAATAGAAAAAGATTGTGTTCAGCCAGCATGCTGAGGCTGAAATTTACCTCTCAATGATATAAAATTGTATAATCCTGAATGCATAGGTATCCTTCTGTCACTGGTATAAGAATTTTTAAGTTCAATAACTTTATCTTTGTCCCCAATTTGCCTTTAATGTTCTAAACTGGGTATTTGTTTCACAAATACTAGTTTTTATTATAAAAGGACAACAGTTTTATGCCTCTGGTTCTCAGATTGATCTTGACTTCCTCAGAGAAGATCTTCTTGCCCCTCCTAAGTCAAGCCCTCCCTTCCCTTTCCCCAGGCTAGGTCAAGCACCTTATGCCTCTTTTTTTTTTTTTTGAGACGGAGTCTTGCTCTGTCACTCAGGCTGGAGTGCAGTGGCACGATCTCGGCTCACTGCAAGCTCCACCTCCTGGGTTCACACCATTCTCCTACCTCAGCCTCCCGAGTAGCTGGGACTACAGGTGCCTGCCACCACGCCCGGCTAATTTTTTTTTTTTTTTTTTTTGTATTTTTAGTAGAGATGGGATTTCACCGTGTTAGCCAGGATGATCTCAATCTCCTGACCTCGTGATCTGCCCATCTCGGCCTCCGAAAGTGCTGGGATTACAGAGGTGAGCCACCACACCCAGTCACCTTATGCCTCTTTTTTGTAGTACTTAATAATTGTAATATTCCTATTGCATAAAACTAGTTTATCCAATAGTTATCTGATAAAACAATGATCATTGTCTACCCGTATTTAAATTTTTTATTTAACTGTATTCCAAAGAACAATAAGGCGGTTATTGCACCTGACCTGTTTCTCATCAGTCTGATGCTCTTCTTCAGGCTTTAAGGAATCTGGTGAACTGGAGTTAGAATTACTGCACGTTGAGGCAAATGAATCTGGTGAGGAGTTGTTTGTTGCTCTCCAGAGGGTGGATGCAGATGTAGACATGGTTCCTCCACCCTTAAGCAGAGCCTCAGCCATACCAACCAATTCTTCAAACTGGGTGACTGCTTGTGGTAACACTAAAATGGCAAGAAAAAGTACACTTTACAAATACCATTGGTAAAAGGTGCATATGTACATTTTTTTTTTTGTTGAGTGTATGTGCATAGAAATATGCAGAACAAACTGTTAACATCTGCTGTCTTTGGAAAATAAACATGGCAGGAAAGGTGTTTGGAACATATTTACTTTTATTATTAAATAATTTAGTAATTGCTTAATAATAATAAAGCAATGAAAAAACATTTGGTTTTTGCAGTTAAATGAATATGCATTACTTTGTAACTAAAAATAATGTTTTAAAAATTGATTCTTTTCTTTCTAGTTGCTGGGGTTTTGTTTGAAGATGTTGAGTTGAATCTCTTGTTTGGAGCTATTACTGATTCTATTATCAATAACCTTCTAGAAGCTTACATTAGGCCTGTTTATGTGCCAAGATAAAACTAGCCATTTCTCACAGATGAAAATAAATTTTCTATGACCGTGTATGGTTTACAAGGGAGTCAAATTTCATCAAATTATTAAAAATGTACTGCTACAATTCAAACTTGTGTTGTGATATATTAAAGATGAATTTTGGTAATCAATGGAATATTTTCTTTGTTCCTTTTTTTAAAATGGAAACTTACACATTCAAAGTTTTCATGCCTCCATGTAAAATGGTCTTCTCTGTTGTTATATCTAGTTTGTTTCCTAAGGACAAATAACATGTTGTTGGAGTTGGAAGAGATCTTGAACCTTGTCTAATTCAGTTCCTCACTACATGGTTGAGGGAACAGCCTGCTGGAGAGGTGAAAAAACTCTGAAACTTTTTTTATACTTTTCTCAAGCATATTATTGAGCTACAATTTTAGAATAATTAATGATGTGCAAATCAGTATATATGGTACTATATATAGTATATAGTATGTAGTATAGTATATAGTATATGGTACTATATTAAAGGAAAAACTACTAAAGAAGAAAATATTATTTTCTGTTCTTTCAAAAACATTTATTAGCACCTTTCATGTGCCGGACACTTATTCCATCAGTAATTACTTATCAAGCATTTAATAATATTAAACATTTATCTAGTTTTTTTCCTCTGTGCCAGGCACTATTCTGAGACTTTCACTGATGTTCTTTCATCCAATACTCATTGCAACTCTCTGAGATAGGTATTATCTTTACCTGTCATTTCCAGATGAAGTCAGTTAGGCAACAAGAAGTTAAGTAATTCGTCCAGAGTCACACACAGTTAGTGAAGAGAAAAGCCAAGATTCAAATTCAGACTGGCTGCCTCCCAAGTCTATGTTATGCAGATTCTCAGTATTTGCCAACCACTATGCTAGGTGTGAGGGATAAAACTGGGAGCAAAACCAGATGTGATCCATGTCCTTTTGGAGCTTACAGTCTGAGGGGTGAAGGGGAGACTTATTTACAAACCCACCTGTGTAGCAAGAATTTTGCCCTGCTCAAAGAACGATCTGGCCTTTGTCCGAGTTCCTGGGAAGTAACTGTTAAATCCTTGGAATTTCCTGACTGACAGGAATGTCTTCACCACTCATCATGAGCTCCTGGGACCATGCCTGACAGTTTATGCTAATAAGCTGACTCATGGTGGGGCCAAGTCACATGCAATAGCCTTAGGGTGGCAGCTGGCCACAGCCTGAAATCCAGAAAGACCAACCATATGATTTAGAGACTGAGTTCAACCACATGGGCAGGCAATCAACCGATCAATCATGCCTGCATTATGAAGCTCCAATAAAAAGTTTGGACAGTAGAGCTCTGGTGAGCTTTCTGGATAGACAATACTTTATGTGGATTGTCACATATAGATGCTATGGGCATAAGGCATCCTGAGACAACCAAAGCCTGACACATGTGGAAACCTCCCAGACTCTGCCCTCTTTCTTTGGCTGATTCTAATTTGTATCCTTTCCTTGTAATGAATGTTCTGTGAGTTTTTCTATTAGAGAAAATTATTGAATATGAGGGTGGTTTCGGGAAACTCCTGCATGTGTAGTTGGTGTCAGAAGTATTAGGCACTCTTGGCAGTGTGGAGGACACTGCCCTTAACTTTGCAGTTTGGTTTACCTGAGGTATATGCAAAAAATAAAAAATCACAATTCTTAAATGGCACAAAGCAGCAGCATAAGGTGCTTGACCCAGCCTGGGGAATGGGAGGGCTTGACTTGGATGGGGAAAGCAGGGCTTCTCTGAGGAAGTCAAGATTCATCTGACAACTTAAGACTGAGCAGGGATTAAATTGCTGAAGAGAATGAGGGGGTCATTAGAGGCATGGGAATAGCACCTTCTTCATATGAGGAACTGAAAGAAGGTGAAGTCTAGAATGTAAGAAGAAAAAGGGAATTTGGTATGAAGTGGGACTACAAGAATATTTACTATTTTTTTCAAATTACATTTGTATATGTTCATTGGCATACATCATTCTTGTTATTTCTGCCTGTGTATCTCTAGTTTTATGAATGTATTTTCTTTTACGTAATTAGAACCATGCTGTATACATTGCATTGTATCATGCCTCTTTTTTTCCAATTAAAATGGTAAGGTGAATATTTTGCCTGTTTTATTAAATCTCCTTGGAAAATATGAGTCTTTAAGGTCTAATTTACATACAGTTAAAGGCAAAACCTTACATGAAGTCTGAGCAGAAATTTCATAGGTAAAGGGGACGAGTTTGACAAATGGGTGCACCCATTAAAAACACACCTAATCAAGATAGAACATTTCCATCCTCCCAGAATGTTCCTTTACATCCTGTCTAAATCAATCCTTGGACTTACCTCAGAGGCAACCACTAATCTGACTTCTTTAGCTGTAGATAAATTTTACTTGTTCTAGAATTCCATATAAATGAACTCAAACAGTATATTCTCCCTTTTTTTTGTCTTTTTTCTCCGCATAATAGTTTAACACATCCATGTTGTGTGTACCATAATTCATTTCTTTTTATTGCTAACATTCCATTACTTCATAATTAATGTATCCATTCACCTGTTGATGGGCTATTTTCCCTAATATCCAATATATTCATGTTCTGTAACTTATTTATTTATTTACTTATTTTGAGACAGAGTCTCATTCTGTCACCCAGGCTGGAGTGCAGTGGCATGATCTCGAATCACTGCAACCTCCGCCTTCCAGGTTCAAGTGATCCTCTGGCCTTGGCCTCCTGAGTAGCTGGGACTACAGGTGTGCATCATGCCAGCTAATTTTTGTATTTTTAGTAGAGATGGGGTTTCACCATGTTGGCCAGGCTGGTCTTGAACTCCTCACCTCAGGTGATCTGCCCACCTCGGCCTCCCAAAGTGCTGGGATTACAGGCGTGAGCCACCACGCCCAGTCCTATAACTTCTTTAAATGCTCCTTTTCTCACTTGGAAATTAGGTTGCTTCCAATGCTTCTTTTTTTCTTTTTTCTTTTCCTTCCTTCCTGCCTGCCTGCCTGCCTTCCTTCCTTCCTTCCTTCCTTCCTTCCTTCCTTCCTTCCTTCCTTCCTTCCTTCCTTTCTCTCTCTCTCTCTCTCTCTTTCTCTTTTTCTAGACAGAGCCCTGCTATTACCCAGGCTGGAGTAGAGTGGCATGATCACAGCTTACTGCAGCCTTGATTTCCCAGGCTCAAACAATCCTCACACCGCAGCCTCCCAAGTAGCTGGGTCTGCCTGGCTAATATTTTTATTTTTTGTAGAAATGGGGTCTCCCTATGTTGCCCAGGCTGGTCTCGAACTCCTGGGCTCAAGTGATCCTCCCAAAGCGCTGGGATTACAGTGGGGAGCCACTTTGCTAGGCCCAATTTTCTTAATTACAAATAAAGCTTTGATAAACCTTCTTGCATCTACATTTTCATATGCACCTCTGATCATGTCAATGCTATACATTCCTGAGAGCATAACAGCATTAAGAGATATAAATGCTTTCAAGATTCAATTCATATTGCTGAATTGCTCTCTAGAAACATTTTTCCAACTTACACTCCCACCAGCAATATAAGAAATTGACCATATCACTGTGCCACCAACAATAGGTGTTAATCAGTAACAACCATCTTCATTTTTTTGATAGCTTAAAATCTTAGTACATTTTAAATTACAATTATTTAATTATTGTGAAGTTAAATATAATTTGTTTATTGATTATTAGAATTTCTTCTATCAATTATCTATTGGAGCATGGGATCTTGGTACTTTTTCTATTTTATAAGAACTGAAATGGTTTTTGTAAAGTGGTTACAAGAGTGCCTAGCACATTATAAGCAGAATGTATTAGCTTTATTATTAACTCCCTTATCTATTAAGCATTTTAACCTTTTATTTTTCTTGAGTTGCAAATATTTTTCTCAAAGTGTTTATCTTTTAATTTTATAACATTTTAAACACACACAATTTAAACTTTCATTTTAGTTGAAAGTAGCAGTCTTTTCTTAGTATATTATCCATTTATTTTATACTTAGAAAGTCATTCATTACTCAGATCAGTTAAATATTCACCAATAATTTTGTAGAGTTTAAATATCTTTTCACAAGTACATTGTTTTCCTGGATATATTTTTTTAAACTTTTAATGGAAAATTTTAAACAGAAACAAAAATAGCAAATTCTCCCATTTCAATTCATGGCAAGTCTCATTCCACTTATACCCTGATCCCTTTTCTCCCCCAAATTATTTGATGCAAAGCACAGGCATCATCTCATTTTTATCTGTAAAAATTTCTGTAGGCATCTCTAAAAGGTGTATTTAAAAATATAACTGTTAACACCACTACTACAGCCAGAAATAGTTAACAATAGTTTTTAAATATCATTTTAAAAAACCATAGTCAATGTTCAAATTTCTCTGATGGTCTTATTTTTTAACAGTTTGTTTGAATCAAGATCCAGTAAGGACTATACGTTACAACCGGTTGCTGTCTCTTCCATATAAACTACGGGTTTCCTCTCCCTTCCTAGTTTTTTTCCCTTGCAATTTATTAATTGTGGAAACTGGGTCATTTGTCCTGGAGAATTTCCTATAGTC